CCCTGGCCTCTTTGCAAGCAAAATTAAACTAAAACCATATAAAGAAAGCGGACTCATTGCTGATCTGTGTCTCTTGTCACCCAGGTTGCGAGTCCGTGATGAAAGAGGTAAGCAAGCAGAATCAGGAGGCTCCGGGAAAGACACGACCTTGGAAGTGGACGCAGGTACCTCCCCACCTGTGAGAGGGTGACTACGCTGGAACACACTGGGAGAACAAGAACCTTGGTCCTCTGCTTGGTGATTGCAGGCAAGCACTGCTGAACCTTCCAGCATCTTCTTAAAGCAGCACACCTGGTTGCTGGGTCTGGAGACAGTGCATGGAGAAACCCTTTCCCCAGGCTCAGAGGAGTCGGGCCGGGTGGTTGGAAGACCCTGCACCTCTTCAACCCCCAAAGCACCAACCATCACTGCCTTCTCATACACCCCACTCTTTCAATGTCCAGAGTTTCTATGAGTAACATGGTGCTTTTATTTTAGGCACAAAATGCCTGCAACAGCTCATCAGTTTATAATTTTCTAACAGGACAGCCCTGGACAAGTTATATACCTCTCTGCCTATCATTTCCCTCATTTGAAAAATAGATAAAATAAGGCCTCTCTTAGCGTGGAATGTAAACATGCAATTTTATATTCAAGTGCCAAGTACATAACACAGGTTCACTGCGTGTTTCCGGAAGACCCCCGTAACTGGTGAATGCACGAGTCTGCCTTCAGTACAAGCTCCTGTAATGGCACCTCAGCCGTGGCTCATTCCTTCCACAACCCAGACAGGCGTCCAATCGTGCTGCCGTTGCAGCTTTTGTAGAGTTATCTGTGCTCCTGGAAATAGGTAGCCCCGCTTTCTCGATAAATCCTGACCTACACTAACCAGCTCTGGGTTTGCAGAGATTCTGACAGAGCCGAAGGCAAGCTGGGCTCTGGGAGGTTGACCACAGCTGGTTTGTCTACAAGGATGGAGGTGATCTCCCCCAGGGTGGTCTGGTCTCTTTAAGAAAGAAAAAAAGTTACACAGACCAAAAAAAAAAAAAAAAAAAAAAAAAAAAAAACCCCAGCAATACAAACCAACCAAAAATGCCAGGAATGCAAGCTCTGCCAACCAAATAAATAAATAAAATGTGAGATACTTTATAATAACTGGACATGATACATTTCTCAAGTCTGCATAATTGAAATACTCCACTTTTCCATCAACCCTGCAAATATCCCCGTGGCCTCTGGTCCCGGTGGCGTTTTTGCTCTGAAGTAGCACTGACAAAGCCCATCACCCAAAGTAACCAACTGACCCTTGTGCCTTTGGCTCTGACAATTGAGACCTCAAGATCCTCTGGCACTCTCAAAGTTTCCCATCTCAGTGTTTGCTCTCACAAGCCCAGAATGAGCTTCATGGGCAGAAGATCTCCACCCAGCAGGTGAAAACGTTCTCTTTAACTTTGCTCTTCTTGTAAGTAAAGAGGTGCATCATGTAGTTACAGCCCCTATTAAATATTTCAAGGGCCCCTGCAATTGCTCCACTGATCAGGGTCATTTTTGTTGTTGATTTGTTTTCCAGTTAACTGTTAAATATAATGTATTATGGGTCAGGCACTCTTTTAAGATTTTGCACACATTAGTAGATTGAATTCTCCTATCAACCTATGAAGTAGAACAATTATTACACTCATTTTAGAGATGCAGCAGCTGGAACACAGAGAGATTACGCAATTTGTCCGAAGTCATGCAGCTGGTAAGAGGCAGAGCTGGGATTCAAACTCAGACAGGTTGGCTCCAGACGCCCACCTCTGAACTGCTGGGCTCTTTAGTCATTAATGGAATGTGGTCCTTGGGGTTCTGGAAGCACCGTGACCAAGCAGTGCTAGGAGCCTGGGCCGCCCTGCCCTCCCTTCTCGTCCACACGGATGAAGATACAGAGACTAATGAAAGAGTCTGGGAGAGGGACCAAGCTTCTTCCTATCTCTGAGGACAACACAAGTCCCCAGCAGAGGGACATTCTCTGCTGGGGCTGGAAGGGGGCCGAAGCTTTTCGTTCTTGTAAAAGAGCGCACAGCCAGAATTAGAATTCCCGGTCTTCTCTGGGCATCGCACTCACCTCACCAGGAAGGTGGAGTGCGAAGGAGAGACAAAAATGAAGCAGCTTGGGAATGTATTTGCTTTGGCAGCCAGCCTGCAACCCTACGGCAAGGCGCACACCAGGAGGGAACTCCATGGACACTCAATAGGTTTGTTTGGTTGGCCCATTTAATATGTGAGAAGCCTGCAATCGCACATTGCAACCATCATGCTGTATCTTACCGCTCAGAAGAAAAAATCAATACCAGGGTACATGCATGTGAACTTGGTACTAAGAGCTGTCAAAAATCCTGTGAGGTCTCAATCTAGAATAAAGGTTCTTGATCAAACCCTGTTCACACAGGCAGGCAAACAGGTAATCCAGAGCTCCTGCTTCTACTCCCCACCTTCCCACTGCCTGTTGGACTCTCACGGAAGGGGAGTCAACGGGCGATGGGGTGGGGCGACCTGGTTTAATTATTTAAGCCAGATAAGATCCCAAACTAGTTGTCCCCACACATAAGAAACTAAACAACCCAAAGAATCATTCTGACAAATATTTAAGTCACAGTTGTGGACACAAAGCCATGCTGCGAGAAGTTAAACTTTAAACACATGTCCTGTATGGTCTGATGGGCAAAGCAAATCCCCACTTGGCCAGTGTCTTCCCCTCCCACCAGAAGAGCAGGCAGTCTGACCAATGTTTTTCCATCCTTGCACCTGCAAGTTCGAGTCGCAACTGAAGTTTCTTTGCTGAGCTTTTCAAAGGTAGCTTGCGGTCCTACTGAGGGTAATGTACGCCGAGAAGTTAGAAACGTGGATTCGTTTTACCTCAGTGGCTGGCTCACTAGATGGTCTTATGTAAATGACTTTCCTTCTCTGTGCCTCTATTTCCCTCTTCCCTCTCTAAGGTATGGGTATGATATTCACACATGTTTCTAAACACCCAGAATTAAATTATATAAAACTTGGTTATTATATCCTATATAGGTATTTTCAGGTTTCTTCCTTTATTTTCCCCAAGATAGTGCCAGAAATCAAATCTCATTACGATGAATGGCAGAAGACTGCCCAACTTCTTTAACCAGTTGCAATTGTATTGTATTGAAGGCCATTTACAAAACTGAAAGAGTGGCTTGTAAACTTTTTTGAAAGAGGCACGCTTCTTATAATGGATGTGACTATAGCATTAGGCCTTATTCTACCCATTTTACAGATGGAAAAACTAAGAGAAGTTATATACTCAGGGTTTATTTTTTACCAGTAACTGAAATAACAGCATAATATACTTAGACTCTCTAACATTTAATTACCTTTCAAAATTGCTTAACTGTCCACTGTGATCTAAAACATGTGTTAACCAATGACTCTGTTTCATTCCCAGCACACAGGATCCATTGTAGGTGTGTGAACTGACATATCTACACGATATTCCCACATGACCCAATCTGTGAACACACATATAAACGAGCCATTCTGAAGGAAAAGGCCTATTAGTTGAGTTTGTATCCCTGCTAGAAACTACTCTTTCCCTTCTCATATATTCGGTCTGAATCAGTTGTGACTAACAGAACTTAATTCTGGCTTCTTTGAACCCTCCAATGCAATGGTCTTCGCAACATCATTTTTGAATCGTAGCTCTAAGGGCCTAAAATGTCTCTATGGCGCTAGATGATCTCAGCATTGCACTGACCATCCATCGTCACCCTTGTGACAACAACAAGCTTAAGCCTTCTTTGTGCGCTTCCCAGTGATCAATACTGGGGCTGAACGTTAGGAAGTCTAAGAGAAGAGGGCCTGCCATGTCTTCATTAACATTTTTGAAGGCTCTCCAAATGACAAAATAGAGGCTTGGCTTGTGTTGGAACTTTAAGCAAATTCAGAAAGAGTTAAAATAAGCAACTCATTATGGCAGGGGCATGAAGTGTAAGCCACGGGGAGCAGCAAGCAGCTAAACTTATTGATGAGCTGATACACAGCAGCACGTTACTGCAGTTAATTATTTTCCAGAAAGCACCGCCTTCTCTCTGTATCCTGCTATATAGCTTTACCTCCAAAATCACTAATCTCCAAGGATAGATAGCAGTTCCTTATCCTAGAAGAAATCATCTTTTCTTCTTAAACTGCATTTATGCCATGAATAATGCAGTGTCAGACTCCATTAAGCTGTTTAGCACCAAAAATCATGCCTAAGACAAAATGAAATTTCTTTCCTATCCCTTCTTAAAAATCCTTCAAATCAAAGAAGGGGATAACACCACCCACTTAACCAAAGACCCCAAGTCACCGCTGGGTGTTGGGATGTTTTCCCTCTTCTAACAAATCTTTAGTACCAGAGGGCAAATTTATGGTAGATGAGAAAGATGGATAAAGTGAATAATCTGCGTGAAAAGAATCAGTATGTCCCCTGAAGTGAAGATGAGCGGTTCAATTCTCCTCCCGTCTCCTCCCCAGTCCAGAAAAGAGGAGCTAGAAAGCAAAGGGACATGTGACAGGGAGCTCAGGAGGAGAAGACGTTTGAAAATGCCCTTGAGGGCCAGCCAGTTAAACACCTTTTCCGCTCTTATTCCCCAGGGCCCCCCATCCAGGTCCACTTGTGGGGGACGCAGAGTCAGGGGACCAATGTCCTCTGCGACAGTATTCATCCTCCCAACGTCAGGGATAAAGCCAGAGGGTTCTTGCTCATTTGGACAAATAAAGACACGGGAGTGGGGGCGCTGGACATTCTATAAGCTTTTTCCCACTCCTCACAAAAACACAGCTGTGAAAATAAATACCACCCCCCAAACAAGGGTCTCGGGCCACCAACAGTCCTCCTCTTCCTCTCTCCAGCTGCCACCAGCATCGCCCGCTCAGGCAGAAATGCACTGCCTGGGAGGAAATTGCGAGGCGGGCAGAAGCCGAGGAGACCCTGGCCGAGAGCTGGGGTGGGCGCCTCGGCCGTCACCACTCACCCGGGGAGGGGAAAAGCTCCAGATCGACTTTTTCCGTCTTGATGATGGTGAGAGTCGGTTTGAGATCGACGGCCGCCTTCATGGTGCCAGGAGCGGGGGACGGACAGGATGATGGCAAGTTTGCTGTTATTCTTGTTGTTTGTCTTTTTAATGGGGATTCGTAACAGGGGAAAGGGGACGGGGGCAATCCGATTTTCTTGCCTAAAAATCTCAAATTCCCGCCGCCTTTCCCCCGCGCCCAGAAGGTGCGCGCCCGGCACTCTCCAGCGAAGTTGGCACTTTGCGGGAAAGTCGGCGCGCTCCGGGTCCCAGGCTCGCCTGTGCCGCGCCGCTCCCTCTTCGCCCGTGCCCGCTCCCTCCTCTCGGCCGCCGGCTGCCTCCGCTCGTCCCCGTTCCCTGGAGCCCTCCCTCCCGCGCGCGTTCTTCCCTCCTCTTTAGGGCGTTTCTCTGCGCGGAGCCAGGCGCTGGGTTTGCGCCTCTTTCCCCACCCGCTGCCCCCCCGCCCCAAACTCATCCCCCTTGGACCTCCGCAGGGGGGAGCGCGGGCGGGGCCGCGGGGCGGGGCGAGGCGGGTGGTGGCTGGGCCGGGACCCGCGGCCAATCGCTAGTGGCCGCCCGAAGCGAAAGAAAGGTGGGCGGAGCTCCCAGCGGCCCGCGCCGGCTCCCCGAGGGCCCTGCTGCCAGGCCGCCAGGGAGTACGCGTGAAACGGTGCGCGCCCTGGCCGGGCCGGTGGTGCCCCGAGCACCGGGGCGCAGAGCCGCGGGGAGCGGGCTGCGTGCAGAGCCTCCCCGACCACTTCGGAAAAGTCCCCCTGATTTTCCACGCATTCTTGATGGGTTGGTCACCAGCTCCAGCCCTCTCCCGGTAGCAGCATAGTTTTCGAAGTGCGTGTACATCATTCATTCACAAAGACTGACACACAGGACGTGAGGCATGCCAGGAAGGGGTTATGCGTGCGAGCAGGCGCGGGACACTCGCGAGCCAGTGTACCCAGAGGGCGTGAGGGAGAGGGGACTCCAACCGGTTAGTAAGTCAGGAATCGGGACGCTGTTTACAGAGACCCTCTCAGAATCCACCACTGCGACCTGCCCTTGATAAGCATCTAGCCCAAGGCAGCCTACTGGAGACCCCAAAACAGAGGCCCAAATTCTTCTGTATGATTGGGAGAGTCCAGAACAGGGCCCCCCAAACTAGAATCGATCCTGAGCTTCCACAGGCGTCAGCTCCTCCCGCAGCAGCGCTTGCGCAGAAAGGGAAGCTATAGTTCTGTCCCTCTAATTATCTTACCATTGGCCAAACTTTTGACCTTCCTTTTCACAGCCTCCTCTATTGGATAAAACCTATAAAAAGGTTGCACAGGCTGCTTAGTTTTGAAAAAGTGATGCACAGACTGCGTGGTTTTGAACTTCTGGAATACATCATCCATGACAGAGCAACAGCGCACAGGCCCTGTTCCATTTGGGAACTCCAGACACTTCGGACACCACAACACGATCCTGAATAATTAATGACTTGGCGAGGATCCACTGGTTATCCTAAGTGAAGAGAGTTGGTCTTAATTACCATAACCAGTAGATAAAGAGGCATACACCTGTACTCATGAATATAGCTAGGACCAGACACTGAGATCTATCTTTAAGTAACTAAAAGATTAAATATAAGTTTTTCTGAACAACCTCAGAGCAAGCTATTTTAACAGGTATTTTTTCCTGATTTCTAGGCATACGTTATGTTGAGCTCCCACACTTGCCTGTAACTGTAACCTTTGCCTCGAATAAGTTTGAACACACCTGCTTACCTCCTTCTAACCCGGCCTGGCCTCCCTGAAGCATTCAAACTTGCAGGCTTTCCACAGCAAATGAGGGAAAGAATCAGGAATAGCAAGCATAATAAATCTTGAACTTCTGGTTGAAACTTCAAATCACGCCCCTCCTTCAGTAACCAGAGGAAAATATTTGCATGGGATAATCCTAATTTTTGAAGGACTGTTGTAATCCAGATGTGTTTCCAAAAGGTACAGGAAAACAATGCTGGCCTCCAGATGACAAGAACAGACATTTCTGATCCTGGGAAAAGCTGGGGGAAACAGCTGATGAATGAGTTGTGCATTCACACACCCAAATGAGCCGCAAAAGAAAAGGATCTTAAGTCAATCCTGCCTTACCCACTAGGAATAAATACATTAGCAGAAGAATTGAGCAAATCAAGTGTTGCTTTGAGAAATTTTGTTTCACTGATGTTGTTTTAAGATGTTGGGTTTTGTTTTCATTCAGTACAAGTACTTCTCCATTTTCAAAAGCAGCTTCCTCAGAACAAGTCCTTTCTCTCTTCCCCAGTTGGTTCCTCAGTTTTCTTTTCCAGGCTAGACTGTACGCTGCTGCTAACACCAAGCCCTGCCCCAAGTTAGACACCGAAAGACCCCTCCCCGATTAAACTATAAGCCCTTTCCACTCTAGCAGTGGGAGGATTTAGTCCTTCAGTGCTTCAGCAGTGGCCACGCAACATGTTGGTCACCCTTTTCTAACCCCACCAGTCCTGAAGCAGAAACTCAAAACGTGTGAAGGTCCCAGTGTGTGGAGATGCCAGCTGAGGAATGAGACTGGCAACATAAGGTAGGGGAGGTAGCCAGGAGCCGCCAGAGGCCTCCCAGAAAGTTCCGTCCGCATGAGCTAATCATGAATATTGATGTTATCCAAAGTTATACCTCTAATCTTCTGGCTGAAACCTCCCTTGGGACAAGGAACACTAATATGGACAAGCTCAAATATTGAAGTATCAACTTGATTGATCGAATCCATTTTGGTCAATGAAAATGTTGTTCTCTTTAGGACAAAAGTAGATTTTTCTAAATATTCTTATGGACATTAGATACCATTTCTGTCATATTACATCTTTAAAAAATAATGCTTAGTCCAGTGCCTGACACATTGCAGATGCTCCATAAATATACGTTGAATGATCAACGATTAACTCCCTGGTCAACTTCTACTTTGCCACCAGCTCTTTCTAAGTCAAAGACCAAGTGAGTTTGATATGCTATGGCTTGTGGAGATGAATAAAAAGTGTCAATGACTCTGCGTGTAGGTCTGCCCTTTTTCTCACGTGGCAGAGCAGAGCTTCTATTCCCCAGCACTCCTGTCACTTCAGTTCCTTTGTGCCTTAGTTTCCCCACCAGCAAAACGAGATCATCTGAGTACTGCCTTCCCCTTGGCAAGTTGTTTGTAGATATCTGATTTTTAAGGCATGCAAGAAAAATCAACCAAGGACACACTTCTTAGCTTTTGTTGTGATGTGGTATTCTGTTCCTCCCGACCTTGGGAGAAAACAGAACTATATTTGTAAACATTCCTTAGACTTTGGGAATTACATCCAGCAAGTGCTGAAGCTTCCTAAACCGGGAACATCCTGGCAATAAGGATCAAACAAATAAAAGCTGCAGAAGTTGAAGGGGCCAGGGAGTGGAACTGGATTTACTGTATAAAGAAAATAGTCCATCTTTGTAAGAATCTCCTGGAGTATGTGAATAAATAAACAAACAAACTTTCTCAGTCACATTCCTCCCTCAACTCCACCCCAAATTCAATAAAAACAAAGTATTAAAATACACCTAATTTCAAAGTTGCGGAAGACAGACTCTTCCTCTCCGGCAGCGTGCTAGAATAAGTTGTCTATTTCCTGAATTTTGATCTTCGACGAACCAAAGGATCTCTGAGTTTCAAGCTCACATACGCTTTATTAGTACAAAAACATTCAGACCACTAACGGCTGATCCTGAACAAGCTGATGACTCACAGATGTTAATTTACTGGTTTAAATGTAAGATTTAAAAAAAAAAAAAAAATGAAGAAAGGCTCCTCAATTAACAACCTGTCTGAGTTTGTGGTTGTTTTTCTTTGAGAAAAGGCAACAGTCTCTGTCACAGAGCCGGGCCTCTAAAGCTGAACTCTGCCGCAGAGGTTTCTGTGTGATAAGTTGAGTGATTAAAAAGCACAAGGGGAAGAAAGATGCCTGCGGCTTCCCTGTCCGCCATTATGGAGCAGCGATAAAATGGGAAATCAGAGAGTGAAAGAAAAATGAAAATCAGCCCCTTAATTAAACTCTGATGTCAAAAGGCCTCAGGGTCAATTCAAGAACCTGAGTGGGGGACCAGCACTGTGCTGTCACTGAATGCGGTCGACTCTGTGACCTCACCGAAGCCACTTCACCTTTTTTGTGTCACAACCTCCTCTCTGTTTCAGGGGATAAAATCACCCCTGGCTCTCCCTACCATGTAATAATACAGACTCATTAGCTATTGTTTAGATGGTACAATAAACAATGAGCGATAAGGGGCGCCGCAGTGAGGAGGGAAGCGGAAGGAGGGACACCAGGGCCCGGGCGGGACTGCCTGGGGGAAGCTCTCCATAACAAAACCAGGACGGCAGTCAGTGGAGTGAGACTCGGATTCAAATTCCTGCTCTGCCACCTCACCCGCTGAATCCCTACACAGAAGTCACACACAGCCCTGCATCTCAGCTCCTCCATGTATGAAGTGGGGATAATAATAGCAGCCACCTTTTAGGGTGGTTTGGAAGATTAAATGAGAAAAATGCCTGCAAAGCTATTAGCGCGATGTCAAGGTCAGGAAGAGTGCTCAATTAATGTTAAATCTGTGTTGTTGCTATTAAGATGGCACACAAGGTAGGATATCTGAGAAATCACATTACGTGTTTCTGTGGTCGTTCCCTTTTGCAGAGCAGCTGGACCCTGTGTTTACCTGAACTGTCTGCAGGCCGAGATGGGCAGAATGATCATGGTTAATCTAAAAATCTCCCCCAGCTTCCTCCTTAGTTCCTGATTTGAGAAGTCACAGCACTGGTCTCAGTCGGGAAATTCCAGCGCTACCTTATTAGAAGAGAAAACTGCACATTTGTATTTGTTAAGAGTCCCCAGAAAGCTGTGGTTGCAACGCAGAAGGAAAGTCACGTGTGGTGGCTCTCTGGAGATGCAACCTAGGTCTTGGCTTCGTCCCGTCCCCGTGTTAGAACTAGATGGGTCTCTTAGAGAGTCAGTTCCAGTCCTCCCGTCTACCAGAGGGGGAGGGAGATGAGTCTGAGAGAGTAAGTCATCCTGCCTAAGGCCACACAGCCTGAAAAAAAAGGCAGCTTTAGGACTAGAACCTGATTCAAGTTCTCAAGAGGCAGCTCCATACACTTGCAGAGAGCGCTTCTGCTGAAGAAGCCACCGCCATGCAGCGTAGTCTGTGGAGGGACACTCCTGAGACACGAGGCAGGGTACAATGTACCCAGGAAAACACAGATGATCAGACAATTTCTAGAAGTCGAATCATCTCCTCTGCACTGAATGTGTTGTCTTTGGCAAGGACATTGCAGGA